TCATCATCATCATCATCATCATCATCATCATCATCATCATCATTATTATTATCATCATCATCATTATTATCATTATTATTATCATGATTATTATTATCATTAGTATCATCATTATTATCATCATTATTGTTGTTATTGTTATTATTATCATCATCATCATTATTATCATTATTATCATGATTATTATTATCATTAGTATCATCATTATTATCATCATTATTGTTGTTATCATCATCATCATCATTATTATCATTATTATCATGATTATTATTATCATTAGTATCATCATTATTATCATCATTATTGTTGTTATTGTTATTATTATCATTATTATTATCATCATTAGTATCATCATTATTGTTGTTATTGTTATTATTATCATTATTATTATTATTATCGTCATCGTCGTCATCATTGTTATTATTATTATTGTTGTTATTGTTATTATTATTATATAACAATTATTGCTAATAACATGAGTTGTTGAAAATAACAATAATAATAATTTTACTTCTTTTCGTTTGTTTTATTTCTTTTTTTTTTAAACTTGTTACTCTGTTCTATGATATATAAAAAGTTTTATAATATTACAAAAAGTTCCATCATGACAGATATTTATCCATAAATATTTGTTAAAGCAAAGAATTTATTGTATGTATACACTTGTGTGTCATGGGAAATCAAGTTTCAGGTACGGATATTTTTGTAGATTTTGACACGGAAGATTAAGCAATTTTATTTTATCGAATAGAATTTCCGAGTATGTTTTCTAGTTTTCTTCCTCTATTTTCGTGGTTGTGTGAAACTCGACCGGTTTAAAGATCCCCAAAGAAATCTTCAGAAACGACGGTATTGAATATAAACTACCCTGACACATGAGCTTTCTCGATTTACGTTTGAATTCAAACACCTTCAATTCAATTTACATAAATTATTACTAACATAGGAAATGCAACACACTCGATGTAACCCAGTTACATATGCATTAATGTGTAATATCGTTAGAATGCACTATGCATATATAATAAAATAAAACCAAAAATACTCGATGTAGTGGAGTATTTTTGTTATTTTTCAAATTTGTTCCCCATTAAAATACTTTTATCAATATATATTATGAACAATTAGATTAGATTCTGTTTAATTCGAACATGATTTCAAAATGTACAAAAGCCACTACTAATATTTTGATCACGTGACAAAATATTTTAAACTTTAAACTGTCCAATATTATTTTTCTCTTTCAATATGAACATAAATGAATTTTAAATACATCCGAAATCCTTGATAAATTTCATTTTGAAGAGCTTTAGTGGTCAATTTAAAAAAAAAATATTATTTTTCGGTTTAAATAAATAAAGGAAATTAAATAAAAGCATCTCACAGGAATATTTTGTGTAGAGTTTTTCATGTTTCCAAAATATGCGGATGTATAAACAGAAGTGCGTATGCTTGTATGAAAAAGTTTTATTAATCGATACTACTAAAAATAAAATGTTATATTGATAATTACATAAAATATTTCATCGCATCGACATCTTCTCTATGGTGAAAAATAAAAGTAATTAATATTTGATTCATATGATAATTCAGAATATTGATATTAATTATAAATGTTATATTATCACCTTTACGAAAAGTATTAAAAAATCTTCAAGAAAAATTACTTCTCTTTAGCTTGAGATCATAATATTTAAAAAATAAGTTTCAGGCAGTAATTCAAGAAGTATGCAACTAGAATTTGGTAGAACAACGATGCATAAATGGACTGCGAAATTTTTAAACGAAAAATATGTAGTAGAGCCGTGCGAGGAGAATCTTGCAAAAGATTTAAAACATTACAGTTGGTGCACAACGACTCGCAAATTTGTCGTTTACTCGACCGTCTAGAAACTTTTGCCAAGTTTTCATATAGAGTGTAACTTCTTTCTTGCAGCTGCGGCACATTCCGTGCTTTTCGCGCTTCATTCATTGTTCATCGCTGCAGACTCGCCGAGTCGGATAGATAAATTGGCCGTTTAATTAAAGTATTACCCTATTATCCTCTAATAACTGTCGTAACTAATTCTACAGTGTCTCATTAATTTTTTATTTCACGAATGAATATACGACCGATTATGTTTCCAAGCAAGTTTTTATTCTTTCTCTTATTATTATTAATTTCTTAATCATAGTTTCATTTAATTATTTCTTAATTACAGTTTTAAATAAAACTAATTCTTATTTTATTTATTATTTATAGTTTTAAATAAAATATAACTGTAGTAACGTGTGTTTAAATGGTGTTACTTGGTTGAAAATTTTGTCAGTCTACGAAATGTTGGAAAGAACAATTATTTCAATAAGTTAGATATCTTATATAGGATTTAGTAAATACTTTATAAAGTATTATTCTATTTTTATAAAGTATTATTCTAT